CAGGAAAATCTAGGCTTTACGCACGGGTTACGGACCTACGATCTTCAGACGAGTCAAAAGCAACGTCTGGATATTCTGTACCTGTCTGGATCCAACTTTTCATGATCTCAATGTAATCACGCAAACGAAGAACACAGCATGCGCTTAAGCATGCGACTTAACTAAGGCTTATTTTAATTGAAGGAAGTATTTTAATTACACTGAAGTCTACTTTTTTTGAATGGCCATTTATTCCTGTAGCAGGTAAGGACAAAGAGAGAGACAGGGTTGCCCATTTTCAGATTAGGTTCAGCAAAACTGTTAATGTCCTTAGCTTCCAAAACAAGCGTACTCAAGCAAAGAGATTAAATCTAATACAGTTTACTTCAGAAACAAGTTTTCGTCTGCTTCCCAGGGATTGCTTTTTCTAACTTGATACGTGGCTTTAATAAACAACTAAAAATAGAAGCTCTACAGAGGGAGGAATGAATACAACCCAGTTTGTTACTTTCAGAAACCGGTAATGCCCATGGAACTGAACTTGCAAACACATTCCCTGCTGACCAAAATGAAACTTTTCACTTTCTGCCAAGAATGCGTATCAGTCAGCCGATCCAAGCACAGTCACGCTTTCACGAGACTGGAAACACAAAGGCAGCATGCAACGTTCAGGCGCTGGGAGCGTGAGCAACTCCGAAGGCCAAAAAGGAGAGCGACTATTATTAACTTCCTCTGCATTATCAAGATGTTTACTCTGCTTCAAAGAAAAGCAGACTTGTTTAAGGCAACTTCGCTACTCTTAGCAATTCCATCACTGGCAACAAGCTACTAGTTTTTAAACTGTTGTTTTTCTTAATCGCTTCAGCTCATTCCCACCGCATCAGCGCAGACCACCTGTACCACATCAGTAAGTTTTGTTCGTACCACGACAGTATTTGTAGCAGATGAGTTTGGCATACTCAGACCAGTAAGGCTAGAATTAAAGCAAGCATCATTCTAAGGTGTGTCCAGTTTAGAGGTTAGAAACCCACAGAAAACTTTCTGTTACACCCAAGACGAAACTGAAGAGAAAAAGTGGTCAGATATAAGGCTGGGTTTCAAACGCTGCCCGTGAGCTCCAACGTGTTACTTCTTTTCAAAGCCTGTATAAACAGCCATTGGAATTTGGTTGCACCACAAAAGTCTGGGTTCCAGTTGTACCAGCCAGGCATTAGCAGTATGTCAAACAGCTTAATAAAGTCCCAGCTCCTCCAAGTTTTAAGCACACCACTTCACCCTGAGCCAACAGAAAACAAATTATTACAGCCACGTCTGAGGGACTTGTATCAGAGCATGAACCTGCAAAGAGACGACTATTTTAAAATGTTTACCTACACGGTATTAAATGAGAGATTTTTAATCAACCCTTTGCAAATCATCTAACAAAACACCTTTTATCATATGGCTGAAGCTCCACTTACAAAAGAGCACTTGACAAAGTAGATAAGATTCAGTAGGTCTGTCATAACAAAAACTTTTTATCAATGTTCCAAGTAGAATGGCTACAAATAAACCAGTTCAATTATATTTTTCAATAGTCAAGACTAAAGGTGGGAGCAGATAAGATGTTTAAGTATATTTAATATGCACAGTCCAAACTCATTTGTGTATGTTCATAAGGAAAGGAAATACGGAACATCCATTTTCTGACTCATGCTATTCAATTTCAAAAGGATTCAACACTTCTCTTTCCTTGCCTCCCACTACCTTCACTGGGGTGAAAGCTATATTTTGCAGATTAAGAATCCAAAGTATGTGCAAGAACGACTACTGAAGTCGGGAATGATAGTTTAACAGGACTACAACCTAGATAAATCAATGTTCAAATTCAGACTCTTCTTTCAAGTGCTCAAATTCTGGATAATATCAGATCAATTTCAAATGTACTCTGAATTAATTTCATATGAAGTTCAGTTGTGAAGATTAGTTATTTAATCTACTTGTTTGGGGGAAAAATTGACAGAGGAACACACCAGCTGAAAAGCACCCTGGTACTGTACAACAAGCAAATTGAAGAACAAATCCACTATGAGACAGCAATATAGAAAAGGAGCATGGAGCACTTTTGATCAAACTAAACTGACACCAACTGTTCCTTCCCAAGGTGTTTGTCAAAAAGGTGGGGAAAGAAACGAGACAACAGGGGACCAAGTTCTTTGAGAAAGAATACATCATCTGCCCTTGAACAAAACAGTGCTTCAAAGAAAAGCAGAGATGATTAGGCCTTATATTAATCAACAGGTTGATTTATTTGAACAATCAACACACATACAACTCATTAACATTGCTTGGAGGGCAACAGAAGAGTCTGATCATTTTCCATCCCTCTTCTGGCAGGCAAGAGCAAAATCAACAGAGGAAAAAAGGAGGGTAAAAGATATTGAAGAAACAAGTCCAGAAAGTTGTGTTTCTGGTTGTTAATCAACTTAAACAGCTAGTCAAAAGAACCTAAAACACGGTTCAAGGGAAAGATGCATCAGAAGTGAGGAGTCTCTGCCACGAGTCTTCTCCACCACAGCACTGGTATCATTCACCACTCCGTGGCAGCCTCTACCCAGCGCCTCAACTCCACGTACCAGCTTTTGTGCCCTCCTAAAGGTACATCCAGCGCCGCCACCAAGCGGAGCCTCGTCTCTGGCAGAGGAGCAGGCAGTTAGGACTAAAGCCTCCCTGGCCAAAACCTTACCCCACATGCACACCCCTCCCACCAGACCCTTTCCAGTAACGCTAATATACAACTATCAAAATGGCAGTCAAAAGCTACGTCTAAGTTCCAAGATCTCCCTGTCTGTATCCAAATCAAGAAGTCCACCACAAAATACTCTACTCCAAAATTCAAAGAACTAGTCCTAGAAAAGATCCACATCTGTTTACAATGTTTTCTTAGTAAATACTTCTATAATGATATCTCTAACCCAAATACACAAATATTAAATCATAGATAAACCATGAATCATCGACCTCTCTGATACAGTATGTAACGTAAGATTTGCAGTTTGAGAGTTTAAGTTCGTATCTCAAACGACTTTCTTGTATCTCTACTTTAAAGAGTACCAAGAGCTACGGAGCTCCAGTAACGCCAGCGCGCTTAACCACAGTATTTTCTACAACTATCCAATCCAGTTGTTGGTAACACAACCAGTGTTACTGGAAGGATTCCCCAGAAGTTAATTTACAATGCAGATGTTCTTCACAGTCAGTCTACATTTGCTTTTTCATCTGACTTCCTGTTCATTTTCTCAGTAAAACCTGCTATTTTTGTACAGTTCTTCACAACTTTGGCTAAAAGTGAAAGTAAAGGCTTCTTTGGGGGTGGCTTTGCTTTTTGGGTTTTCTTATTTTTTGTATAGTTTTTGACAAATACTAAAAGTTCTTATGACAGCTAATGCTTTCCAACTTCAGAGCAGTATAACAGACTTTAACTACTGGCCAAATTCCAGCGACAGTGATTATATTCTGCCTCCTAGGATGTCCAATTGAACCTGTTCTTTATTTTCTTCCAGCGCTAAACGTTGCGTGCTATCACTCGACTGTTGAATGGCTGTTGTGTTTCACCCTCAGCTTGTATTTCAGCGGTACACTAGAAGACCCAAGCGTTTACTGTGAAACCATTCAGTTATCTCCTCTGCAATGATGCAGCTTACCTGTGTTGACTGGATCACTGTAAGATCATTAATGTAGCAAAAGCCTGCTCCCATAGCAGAGCGCAGCCCGGCGGTCCCAAAGGTCAGCCTGCAGCAGAGACGATCCCGTAACTCTTTATGCTTTCCATTCTGTAACAAGCTTTCAATCTGTTCTTTTGTTTTTTGGTTCTGCAAAAGAAGATTAAGGTCTTCCTTTAGTTCTTGAAATCAGGATCTGCTATATACTTAATGTTTTTAAAGAATTCCTAGTTCTGCAGTGCAACAAGTTCTTCCTATCCTGTAAAATGCCTGTCTGCACAAACTTCATTGTAACTCTCACTTCCATCATATTCTCTTTTCTCTATCATCCTTATTTATAAAAGATTATAGAGCTCTTGCTGCCATTGACACACTGATGTGTTTGCCTAGTCATTAACACACTTTCCAGCTACATGAAGCCTGTAAGTGAGGAACACAGACTTCAAAAGAGGTTTTTCCAAGGCAGGTAACACAAGTTAATTCTCGAGCTGTGCTGCTGGAAGACAGACAAAAATCCGACCTTCAAAGCAGTGCTTCCTTCCTCCCCGCCCGCAGGAAAGGGCTGTAAACAGGCACAGTAAAATAAAGCTGACATTGTAAAACCAAAAATAAAGCTTGTCTTTTCGAGTTACGTTAATCGTTAGCGAGGTGGGTACAAGAGAGTGAAAGGCCCTATTTACCACACACTCTCACATAAAGATGGATATTTCTCTCTGTCAGAGAATCCCAGCCATTTTTGACACTTTCCCTGCTCAGTATCTGCACTTGATATGAATGGGTTGAAAAAAAACAGCTCCTACTCCTGAAGGTATCACATGCATCATTTTAACAGACACTTTTACTGCTCTCCAACCTTCAGTTTTTAACTCTACTTAGGAGGGTCTCAAGCATCTTGTCGGTAAAACCCAGAGAATTCAAAACAAAGTTCCACAATTACTTAAAAGTTCAGAAAGAATGCATTTTACACACGGTATGTGATACTGAACAAAGAATTCTCCACAGAAGTCACTGGATGTATCTTTAAGAGTTAGCATCTTTCTGAAGCAAGAAACCTCTGCTCCCAAAAGCAGTCCTCATGTCACTGAAACATAACTTTATTGTGGGTGTTAGAGAACACAAAGATTACAGTTGCTTTATGATTTGCCCCCCAAACAGCAAAATATACACCCACTAACCTACTCAGAGGAAACACTGAAAAGCAAAATATTATGTCAATCAGTTAATTTGATGTATATCAATATATTAAGAGTCTTCTGGTTCATATGGAAGAGCCAGAGCCATTCTCCCCTTCTGGTATCATTGTTAGCTGGCGGTTACACCGCTTCCCCTCCACTTGCACAGCTCATTGCGACTGAAAGCCCCCTGCGGTTACGTGCCGATGTTTGTACAGTGGGTATCGCAGCGGGGACTGGCTCGTCGGCTCCTCTGCCGTGACCTGGAAGAGGCCGTACCAGGCCAGACCAAAGGGTGAGTCCAGCACCCTGACAGCAACTGTCAGCAGATGCCCGGAAGAAGGCACAAGGACAGCGCAATCACGGCAGGAATCTGGACAAAGGTGCAAGGGCGATCTACGTATTTTCCACGTAGGGAGTTCCTCATCTGCACAGGAGGGCTCCTTGTGCCAACAAAAGGGATACAAACACCAGACAAGTCAGGATAGAACGTTTTTTAAAAATGTTGTCATCCTACGCCTTTATCATCTAAAACCCATGACTAAAATGAACGGCCACCTGACAAGGACAAAGTTTGGCTAAACAGAACAGTAGGGAGCAATCCTTCTGATGTGAAAGCCACTCCATTTTAAACAGTCATTGCATTTACAAAAGAATGTGTGTGTTTGTCATTTCCATGTATACAGAATACATTTACTACCATTCCTTGTTCAGCTGAGGGAGTGATTATACACATCTCTGAACGGCTTAATTCGAGCATTTACCTTAAGGTAGGAAATGCTACAATCCTATGAACGTTTTAAAGTCAATCCTACGCAGCGCACAGTATGTTACGTAGCAGGATGGGTAAAAGACACTGATATTGAAGTCTCCCTCTGTTCGTTCAGTATTTTCCCAAACCTGCATTACTGTCAAAGCTATGAACTTCCAAGTGCACAAAACACACGTACACACAATTTGTTCTTCGTAGTTATTCTGCACCCTCAACTAATATTGAGGATAGAAAACAATGCGACAAAATAGGGAAAATTTAATATTAATTCCCTATGATGATTAGATTTAGATAGTCATGGCAATACCAACCACGCTATCCTGAGCATGCCTGGGGAGACCTGGGGGGGAAGGGAGAGAAGGCGAGTCCAGTTTGACAAGGAAAAACAATGACAGAAGAATATCCATGTCTGTCCTTTCACAACATGTGCTAACAGGGAGCGATTCACCCCTAGGATGCTGTTTTGAAAGAAGCGGATGTGTAAACACCCATATTTTATAACATAGGGATTTTGAAGGCTTTATAAATTCATTTGGTCATCAAGAAACTCAGCCTGCCTACTGACAGCCAGTTTGGACAGCTATAATAAACACAGCGCAACCCAGCCAGGCTTGCCAACACCACAGACGGTGTAGAAGGCAACTGAGATACAGCTGTAAAAAACAATGACTCCAGCTGTATAATAGTTCAGCTCAGGCTGCACGAGTGCTTCTCTCAAACGGTGTTGCTTCAAGCAGGGTCGTAAGGAACGGTTAAAAAAGGCAAATGGAATCTGAAAGGCAAGGGTGAAGCACCCCTGACATTTAAAACAGAGGTCAGCCAGCTTCAGCTCCCGCGCTGCCACAAGGCAGCCGCTGCAGCCTGGGGGAACGGGCTCTGCACAGAGGGCGGCTCTTCAGGAGGGCTTGAAAAATGCTGGGAAAAGCACCATGATACGAGCTGCACGAACCTCCGTTCAATATTTCATTCAAAAAATATTCAATAAAACTTGTTCAAAAGCTGAAACTATTTCCACCGCTTGACAAAAGATCTTGAACGCTAGCAGGATGAGATGTGGGAATTTTCACTTCTTTGTGCCTTAAAATAAAAAGGGAAGCCATTATTGTTCAGGCTTTCAGATGGCTCTGCAACTAAAGCGAGCCATTACTCACAACACAGCTAAAAACAGGCCTCAAAAATAAAGCAAAAACAATGGGGCACAGTAAATATTAAATCCCAGAAGTGAAAGCTTCTCTTTGAGCTGTTCATAGGCCGTCAACCAGAAAACAAATGACTAATCTGAAAAGAGTCTGAGGCAAGAGTACATGAAAACCTCATCTCACACTATCATAATTCAATACATTTTTGCTTTAAAATAAGGTTATTAAATTACACAGCATCTTTAATAGCTGTTTAGGATACGCTGTATTGCTCGCCTGCAAGAAAAGAATGATGTGTAGTACATTACACAGTTTGTGGTCTGGAATTTTGCAAAACTGAGGCAAGATTTTCCTGAAGCAACAGCGTAAACATTTATTTTACAAATAGATTAACATGCATTTTTGATTGAAGCTACCTTATTTATTTTCCAAGGGAACAAAAATGAGTCAGCCAAAATAGCATCCAAATAACATTTTAATTTGCTCAGGTCACACTCAGTTAGCTAAAATTTCCTGCAATCAGAAAAGAAGAAAGGAGGAAAAAAAAAGTTACGAGCTAAAGAAGAAAATGTCAAAGCTTTCCACAGATGACCTGAAACTCCTGGGCAACAGAAATAAGGAATTTTACAAGACTTGGTATAAATTCAGATGTGGTAATGATGTGTCTCACGCTCTGGGTTATGCATTCAGTAGCATTAGAAGACTGATCTCAAGACAGCTGTTACCACAGCCATCCGCAGCACAATCCTTACCAATTTTCATAGTTCCCTGCTTTCCAGTTTTTCTCCGAGTTGGAGCTTCAAAGCCTACGGACCAGTTTAGCTTCTGGCACCACACTGCTTGGGTATGAACACCATTTACCATACCAAACTGAGAATTTCAAAAGGCACTGCAGTTGGGTGGGGCTAAAAGATAATGACAGCTTCCACTGCTGACGTTTAGCCCTATCGCAAACTCTCAAAAAATAGGTTTTTTGCTGTTTTGCTTTATAGTTATGAAATAAAGTAACGCATCTGAAAGTTTCTCAGTAGCCCTTATGAAAGTTCATTTTCCAAAGCGGAATAGCTGTAATGTTAAAACACACAACAGATGTTCATATTAGAGACTGGGATTACGAAGAAGCAAGCCTAGTATGCCTTTATGCAAAGCATATTTTCTGAAGCCCTTAGTATCACTGCACAGTCACTCTCTCCGTCAACACGAACCTTCCTGTCATGCGAAGCAAGAGGCACTAGGAGGGTTTATCAGATTAGTCAAGCTATGCAGCATCCCATCATATTTCTAAATTCCAAGGAAATATCATCAATCCCACCCATGGAGGCAATTACGTGACGCTGATATGAGAGGCTTACTAGCAGCTTTAAGTAGTTCATTGATGTATTCCTAAATAACTATCACAGATGACTACTTAGAAAAGAATTTCTCAAGCTTCTGAAGCCAAGCAAGGCAGCAGCACGAAGTCAGCACCAAACTCAATTAGCTTAGAAACACAAAGTCGGGCAACTGAAGTGCCCGCTCTTCACCGTTGCCTGGATTAGTATGTCAGTAAGCTCCGTTAATCACAACGCAGAAGCCTAGCGTAAGCGAAAGAGAAGTTCCTTAGAGATTATTAACTACAGTGTTTGGACATTATTTTTAATATCCTTAAAAAAAACCCCACACACAACACAAGACTGCCTAGAGCTTCCTGTCTTAAGCAGAAATAAACTAGGCCGTTTCATACAAAAATAGTCATTCCTTAGTAAAAGCAATGCTCTAAGATATCCTTGCGTCCCCAATGGCTCTAACAAAGCAATTCAAATTCTTCTCATGGATTTAATGATTTGAAGAGCCCACAGAATTTAGCGCTTCTTCTAAAGTCAAGCACGTCAATGATATGAAAACAGCACTTCTTTCAGTATCCACCAAGCATGCCAAATCTCTGTGCCGCTGGCCAACAAGGCTTTCTGGAAGAGCAGCTGCAGCACGCAGGGACAGAGGAGCGGCTGAGGGAACGCAGGCCGGGGCAGGGACCCCCGGCAAGCGCAGTATCCCTGTTGGAGGCACAGAGGGCGGGAGACGAGGGCA